CATACTGCTCTACTATGATCATCAACAATTGTGAGAAAATAATTTGCCTTTGTGTAAGACGGTACATGATAACCACCCCATATGTCACAGTGTATAAGATCAAATGCAAATTTACTTTTATTATTACTAACGGGAAATGGGTTTCTAATAAGTTTGGCTCTGGCACACGAATCACAAGTCTTATTGCAAAATTCAATTGAACTACTTTTAAGAAAATCAACATTTGAAAGCTTTCCCTTCGAGGCATGGCCTAACCTTTTGTGCCAAGTTCTTGTAGTTGTCGACATAGCTCGTCTATCTTTATTTGACCTCATCCGGTAAAGCCCCCCTTCCCGTCTACCCGCTCCAATCAAGTTCTTCTTGTAGAGGGCCTGCATGACACAAAAGTCGGGAAAAAAGGTTATAGCACACTGTAGGTCTTTTGTCATGCGACTTACCGAAAGTAAGTTGCATTTGAAATCCGGTACACAAAGAACTCCATCTAATTTTACTCCCCCTGGGAGTATACTTTCACCTTTGCCTTTGACAGGAATAGAATCACCGTTGGGTATGACCACTGGTGATTCAAAAGGAGTGTTGGTTTTATTTTTAAGAAGACTAGGAATATAAGCTATATGCTCAGTACAACCTGAATCGATGACCCAGTCCTCTTCATTACTTGATTTACCTGCCATGTTCGCACTTCGTACCGGAGTTTCTTTTTCGTCGTTTGCAAAATGGCGCACAAACATTTGATATTGGTCTTTTGTTAAATCTGGGATTGGGCTAGAGTCTGTATCTGCAAATGCAACCGTAGACTTCCCTTTTTCAGTCTTCTTGTTGGGCCACCAGTCTGGGTAGCCCACCAGTTTAAAACAACCATCGCGTTTATGCCCTGAGCGATTACAATGAGTACAGTAATCGTTCTCCTTCTTCTCTTTCTGGATCTTCCAGTTGTTCTTCTGATTGAAAGTCGGATTTTTCCCATGACTGGTCTTGAATGCTGCAGCCTCCGGTGCCGATCTGCTTTCACCGGAAATAGATCTCTGTCTCTCATCCTCTGCAACCAGGTGGTACACCGCTCCCAAGGATGGAATCGGTTTGGTCGCTAGAATCTAGGTTCTAATTACGTTGAAATCAGAGTCGAGCCCCATTAGAAATTGATAAAGGCGCTCCTTTTCTTGGTACTCTAGCATCCTTTTCCCGTTTTCGCAGGTACAATTCTTGCAGGTGCACACCGGAAGTGGCAAGATCGACGACGCCTCATCCCATAAGGACCTCAGATTGGTGTAGTAAGTTGAGACAGTCGTTCCGTTTTGTCGAGCAGCGGATATTTTTTGTCTCAATTCGTACGCCCTTGGTGAGCTTTATTTGCCAAATCTCTCGTGCAAATCCTTCCACATCTGTGAGGCAGTCGTAGAATATTTGACACTATCCCGTATCGTTTTCTCCATTGCGGTGGCGAGCCAGCCTTTCACCATGGCATCGCACCGCATCCACGACATGTATTCGGGAGTCCCCTTTTCTGGTTTTGCAAGAGTTCCATCAACAAACTCTATTTTGTTCTTTGCAAACAGGAAATTTTGCATCTCCTGTGCCCAATAGGCATAATTGGAATCTGTGAGGATGTCGTTGACATGTAGTTGTTTTGGTACGTCAGATGGATGCAGATAATAGGGAGAATTGTGATCGATGGGGTTGCTGGAGCTTCCTCCTTCTGTCTTCTTTTCGCCTGACATCGATTAAGATACAGGTGATGTTGTTTTGCTGTTTTGTTGTGTTTTAGAATTTCTTGAACCGCTCTGATACCATCATAAATTTGATGGTATTGAATTGTTGTTTTCTTCTCTTCATCGACAGATCCCATAATAGGATTAAAAAGATACAAAGTTCCTAAACTATAGGAAAAGAAAACGGATAAAGCTAATCTAATCTATCTAGCTCAACATGATAAAAGTTATCAAGAAACTTAAATTTTAAACATAAATTAAATATTATCTAATAGTTTTCTTATGACATGTTTTGGTTATTGAGATATTGATTTTTGATTATGATATGTGACAACACTATTGATGTTTTCAGACTACTGTTTTTTTTTTTTACAATTGCTTATTTAAAAACGAAATTTTTGGTCATGAATTTTGGGTTGTTACAATTTTTCACGGGATGTGATTTGTACACAACATTTTTTAGCCATACACAACAATTTATGCTTTAGACGATTGTATTGTACAACTGTATAAACGTAATTTGTTGTGTATAGCTAAAAAGTGTTGTGTACGGATCGTCACCCATTTTTCACAAGTGTAAAAACCGAATTTATAGCCCTCTATTTATAGGGAGATGATTTGAAAATCTATAGATAACTACTAAATATAATAGTAATTATCTATGGTATTCAAATCATCCTGGAATATTCCGTATTCCTTTATTTACTGTTAATTAATTAAATTGTTAATTAATTAACAAGATAAGTACGTCAAATAAATATTTTTCAGTTCAACTTTATTTTGTTCTTGCGTGTAACCCAACAGAACACTGTTATTTATAGTAATATTATCGGGTTTGTTATGACTATGAGCACTAATCTCCATCAATATTCTTATTTTTTTTTCTATTTTCCAAATTTTTATTTGCTCACTAGAAACCGTCTGTTTTGTTCAAAATATTTTTGTTTTCTCATAGTACCATGCAAGGATCAAAGTAAAGCGGCTTTAGAGCTTCTATGACTAACTCTTGATGTCTTTTTCCCGGTACACATATTTTAGGGTTGAATTCAAGAAATATCAATGTATTTTTGCTAAATTGTCTATTATAACGTCATGCTTTCATTTCTTCCTAAAATCTACCCATTTATAGTAATGACAACTAAATACAAATCAATTTGCATTGTTATAACTGGGTAGAATTTTTGAAAATATAATGTGTTAATAAAAATAGAATTGAAACTACAATGCTATAATTTATTAATTTAAGAAAAAAATAAACTTACATTGTTATTGTTAGGTTGATTTTTCAAAGTACATTGTTATAGTTGGGTATATTTTTGGGAAGCTGAAAAGCATCTATCTGACATGGTGGTATTAAAAGAACGGGTGGAAAAGGTAGATAGACCAATATGTGAAGTTTTCTTTTAGGCAGCTAAAAGCGGTAACGACATTTTAAATTCATGTGCCATGAACTTGGAGAAGTTTCTAGACTTGGTTGAGAAAAGTCGCCATCAGATTCACAAGGAAACCATGGTTCATAATGTTGCCTCGAAAGTACAAAAATCATCACGAATCAATGTGGTAATGGAAATATCCTGTCTTGTTTTAGTTTTTAAGGTAACATTCTTTTAGTCTTTTGAAAATCTCCAATTGACTAGTGAGCATAGGCGGAGAACTTGTCCAACCATATTTGTTCTAGTTATGAGACTATCTTTTCTAATCCGATTTCGATTCCGGTTCCAACAACAAATACTAACTATACTGCCATATGATGTTTTTGCTATGTTTAAACAAATACTATGCAAGTATATATATACTATTTAGATTTTTTATATCATGCGTTTTAAATAGTATGGATTTCTAACAACTATTAAGAAATTTCTATAGCAATATTAAACTAAAAAATATTTTGTCTATGTAAAAAACAATAATGGATAAGGAAATCAAGTACTAATAGGATCATATCAATCTAAATTTATTTGTGGAGCCACATAGAATTCTTTTTGTTAGCTTAGAAGAAGCTTGACAAAAAACGACACATTACAAATAGAAATACAAATAATAGGGTTGTAAAGCCCAACCAACCCAATTTATTTCACTTTATGTTTTATATTAAAAAATGCAAAAATAATATTTTGACACAATGTTATCAAATAGCATTGTTTTCCTTTGACCATAGAATTTTGAGGGTTCTAAAAAACCCAAAAGTTGTGATAATGTTGCATCAAAATATTTTCTTTGAGTCAAATTGATATTTACATGCAGGGACGGACGCGGAATTTTACAGTAGGGGTTGCACGGGAAAGTTAGGGATTGCACGATAGTATAAAAAATAAAAATTTCGAAAATTTTCGAAAAGTTTTCCACTGCTGCCGGAAAAGTTAGGGGTTGCTGGTGCCACCGTAGACCACCCCTAGGTCCGCGCGTGTTTAAATGATCCATTTAAATAAATATAATATTTGACCGAGGTAAAATTTGAATATGCAACCATCTACAAACTTGACCTAAAATGGTCAATCGTTTCATTATTCACTATGGTCATTAACTCATTATGGTCAATCGTTTCATTATTCCTTGGAATATCCGTAACTATCAAAGTACCTTAATTAATAAGTTTCTAAGCCAAAGCGACCAAATAATTTCTTGAAGCATCTGCTTCCCATACATGTCTATCTTTTTTGCCATAAAGGACCACCGTATGAAGAATATCATTTCGCCGGTCCATTGGACTTCTACACAAACAAGTAAGGATGTGTATGTGGCGGTTTGGTTCGGTTATTGGTAAAAAACCAAACCATAACCATTACAATTGGTTAATATATTTCGATAACCATTAGGTAGCGGTAGATATTGCTTTTGGTTAATGGTTTTAGTCGGTTAATGGTTATGGTTAATGATTAATATCGGTTAACAAAAATGGTCCAAAATGACGTAAAAATAAAAATATTCTTTCTATAAAAATTGAAAAACACAAAATCCATGGTTATAAAAAATGAATGATTGTCTATATATATAATTATATTGATAAAAGATTACTTATCCTATCTTACTCCAAATAATTACCTTTCAAATTTTCAATTCATAATATAATTACATACCATATAATTAATATTATATTATATTAAAAACATTTATTAATATTATTGGTTCGGTTCGATTTATAATGGTTCGGTGTTAGATGAAAACCATAATCTAACCATATGTATGCGGTTAATAAAAATTAAAAACCAAACCATATCTTTTAGCAATGGTTCGGTTAAAATGGTTCTGTTATATCGGTTAATTTGGTTATGGTTCAGTTTTTCAGTTAATATGCTCACCTCTGCAAACAAGTATGTCAAAAGTGAGTTGAAACACATTAAAAAATAAACTATCTTTACTCAAATCTTATGCAAAAGAATTTATTATTTTGATTTAACCTTTCATATTATACACATATATTAAATCCCCTCGAACTTAGGAACAGTGCTTTTTCTGTGATTCACATTTTGACCACAGAATTTTGTTTTTTCTCGATTTCACCGCTGCAATGTTTCCCTATTACTAATACGAGACACGTATCACCATTAAACCGATTATCATTCATCTTTGGCTTCGTCTTTCCCTTATTTTCTGATTTCTTCTTCGTCTTTTCTTTGTTTCCAGGAATTTTGCGGTTTATCGGTGCAGTGATTTTTGAAGTTTCGCAACAACGCGGACGGCTGTTTCGTCGCACCCACCCATCAGTTTCAAGCAAGTATCTATTTTGATTTGAGAATTGAGTATGTTATCTATATTTTGTATGTGTTGAGTACGTTATCTATATTATGTATGTGTTCATACCTGTTTTTTGATGCTTTGAAGCAATTCTTTGTTTCGATTTTGGGTTAGTCTTTTTTTTTTAGTTTTTGGTCTCGGGTTCCACCATCAATCACTTTGGGTTAGGGTTTAGTTTACTTTGATATTTATAAATTGTCTAATTTTGGTCTCAGATACGTAGTATCAGTATTAGAAATTGGTTCAAATGTTCATCTAATTAGGATAGTAATCTTGATACGCCTATTCCCTCTAATCCTCTATCAAGGTGATGATCCTTCAATTTCAGATTACCGCTTCAAATCCGAGATAAGATGTAGAGGTTAAGGTATCGAATATGGGTGGATTTCAGAAGTCTGTTGTATGTAGAATTGCTTCCTTACGTATCTGTTGTTTTGTTTCTTTCTTGCCTGTTGGTGTGTTTTATCTTTTTGTTTATTTTGATGATACTTTTCTATGCTCTACAGGTTACATAGTGCATCTATGTGATTTTTGTTGTCAATCTGCTTACTCTGGTATGTCTCTTATACCGTGTATCTGTTGTTAATGGTACTTTATTGTGGTTAATGTAAGCAAAATGCAATGATTCAAATCCAATGATGTTGTAATATATAGTTCATAACCTCTCCCTTTTGGTTTGTCTGTGCAGGCTTTACTTACATACCATGGTTTTGGTTACCCAAAAAAAAAAATGTCCATCAATTTTTAGAGGTAGGAGGTGAGAGTCTCACCGTGAGACTCCATAATTAATGAACAAAATATGTTTCCTTCTTCTTCAAATGTGCACACATTCAATTATATTTTTGTCTTCTTATTCAAAATTGCATTTACAAATGTGTTGTTTGATTTCTTAGGTTTGAATATACAAATCTCCATTGTTTATCAGCCCTTCCCGGATTGGAGTTAAAGCATCGTCTGCAACATGACGACTCAGGGTTCAATGACGATTTCTATGTTGCAAATGACCATGGGCTTTGGTGAAATTTGGACTGGAAAACAAAATCCTCATACCAGTCTTTTTGATGGTTATGATTTAGGATTTTGCTTAGTTATGGAAGGAAGAGGACTGTGATGGAGGATGCGCTTTCTTGTGATTGTAATTGTGTTGTAGCAAACATTTTGGCTGCCAACTTTAACATAACATTCAACCCCTCATAGTTTCAGCAGGTAAATCTTTACAAATGGAGATGTATTTTAGTTATTGAAATATTAATGGTAATAGTTTTTTGTTTAAGAATACTCTACAATTGATGTCTTTGGATGTCTTTGGATCTGGTGTATTTTATAATTGAAAAGAACACTGATTCTTAATCAATTTTCTCTATCATAACTACAGCAAGGGTCATTGGCTGGCATCATGAAAATTTTATTTCTGAAATGAGTTTAGTGGGAGATGTTTACTTATAAATTCAATACTTCATTATTTACTCAGTGGACAATATGAGAAAACAGTGATATGTATATATTTGTAATGTTAAAAGGACGAAGATGCTATTAGTTTTGAAGATGTATATGCTCTTTTCAACCTTTTTTCCTTCTGGTCATTCGATAAACTCCAGGATTTTACGGAGTATGGGAATTTTGATTATGGATTAGACTAGGTTATTAATGATCAGGCAGTTCTCAAGGGTTTTCACGTTGATGTGTGATGGTAGTGCAACTTCTGCATTGCTAAAGTTTGGAGTCATTGTTGGTAAGAATGATAGTCAATAGAAGGTAAAAACCGGAGCATTGGTGGAGGTTACACATGTAATTAAATTATATAAAACATCTTAGAATGAATAGAAGTTAAATTCTTAGTAGCACAACCCACCATTTACACTTCCTTTTACACAACGTGATGAAATCTCCCTAGGAATGGAAAGAAAACAAGCTGATATAAAGTTATAGGATGGGCCTCTAGGTCATTTTGTATTTATTTGTTTACAAAAAAATCATTTATCTAAAATAATCAAATGAATGAGTATTCTTTTTTTAACCAAATAGCTTGCTTATTTTACTTAGGGCTTTTGACATAAAAGTCTTTAAGTTTGTCAGGTTTTGTTGGTTTTGTCACTGTGACGATTTTTTGTTCGTTAATGTCCAAAATTTGCCAAGTTTTTTTTCATTTTTGCCCTTGCTACCTATAATAGTAGGTGTCCAAGGACAAAACCGTCAAAATTTAACAAAATTAAGGACTTTCATGTCAAATTTTGAAAACATAATTAGGATAAAAACATATAAGATTTGTAAACTTAAGGGTTTTTTTGCAAATTTGAAAAACATACTTAGGGTAAAAACATAAAAGATTTGTAGAAAGGACAAAAATGAAAAAAACTTGGCAAATTTTGGACATTAACGAACAAAAAATCGTCACAGGGACAAAACCAACAAAACTTGAAAAAACTTAAGGACTTTTATGTCAAAAGCCCTTTTACTTAAGTCTATATTTTACTTGAGGGGTATTTTTGTCAATTACCATTATGTTACCAAATTTGTTTTGACTTTTGACCAAAATGAAAAGAATGAAAGTTTTTTGTCTACTCATGGAACTGAAACTCAAAGTTCAGCTACATAATAGGAATATAAGCAATTGTTTTTTGTCTACCACGTGTTCACTTACTAGTTTGCTTTAACAAGTGCATGTCTTTATGGTTTGTGATTAAACCAATATATTCCCGATCTCTCGATTGTTCAATCCTTAATAGTAGGTTGATAAGAGTTTATTTTAAGGATACATTCATATTTGATTCAAAATTTATCTTATATTCCACCAGCCTCATGAAGTGATTAATTCTTGCTTTCCTTATCTTACATGCAATAAATATTCATTGCGGCCTTATCTTGCTATAAAATCTTGGTTAGTTTAAGGTTGGGCCATGAATATTATAGGAAAGATCTATACTAGATTTTAAAGATGTCATACTTTTATCATATTGTATTAGCTACATCCCAATCTTCTCCGCCTTATGCTTTGAGGAGAAGTCAGGCATCTCCAAAAATGCGACTTTTACGGAGGATATAAGGGTCTGTTGTTATTCATCCTAGTATGTAGCGAGTCAAATTGTGTCTGCTTCTACGGGTCATGTCATGACGTTGGAAGACATTCATTATGTATCATAATTAAGAAAATATTTTATTCGTCCACAAATGAACTTTTAATGTTTTAGCTACAAGTTGTTATAAAAGATATATCACACTCTATAACAGTTGATCAATTCTAAAATACAAAAATAAAAGTAAAAAATTGTATGGATCAAAATCAAAGTTTTGGATTTTAATCAATGATTAGTATAGAAAAAAAAAGGTTAGTTTAAAAAACTCATATAGTTAGTATTTGGTTTATAAAATATAGAGTTATATCACAAGACATTTAACAAATTAATTATCCTTTTGTCTACTAAAAACATGACTTGTTAATTACATTTTTTATAACACATTATCTAATTTTTTTATTAAATTTTAGTGTATCATTTTTTGTTATGTTTTAATATATTATTTTGGTGTTAATCATATTTGTTAACAAAATAACTTGAAACTAAAAATTACAGAAACCAAACCGAAAAAATTCTAAAACCAAACCGAAAAAGATGCACACAAAGACCGTGAGACCAAACCAAAACCAATATAAAAAAAGACCGATTCAAAACTAGTATGAAAAAAAACTGGATTGTTCCGAGACTGGTTCCAGAATGACCGCCTTGAAACCAGTCTAAAAATGACCATATCCTTTTAAGACCGGTTTCAAAATGATTGAACCGTTTCAAGACCCGCATGACACCGGTTCCGGAGCGTCGATATACATCTCTAATGAGAAATGAGAATTGCAATTCCACCTTTTGGGTTGACAGTCAGGCCCAAAGTAACATTACGTGAACAAATATGAATTAGGCCAATATTGGGCTCCGGAGCCCAATAGGAATGAAACCCTAACCACTTAAATATAAGTTCCGTAAAACATCTCGTCGTTGACGAAACCCTAAAAAATCTATTATCGCCTCTTCAGAGAAACTCGTCCACCATGGTAAGCACTCTAATGTCTACCACTTTGTTCCTTCTCGTATTATCTGCAGATTATACGTGTATTAAGATTCCTATTACTACATTTTTGTATTCTTGAATTCTAGTGTTCGTATGCTCGAATTTTATAACAATATAATTTTTATTTCGGTGTTCTTGCCGTTTGTGATTTAGAAATACATTAACCTAGGTGCTAATGCATATAACCTAGATGAAAATTCACGTAGGTGTATCAATCTATACGGTTATAAACCCTAGTTTCACATGACATTGAAGTTTTCGAGAACATAAATACCTTTTAATTGTAAAACTTAGATCTTTAGCTGGCTTTCCACAACTTCAAGTCTCCATAAATCTACTGGTTAAAGGATAAAAATCAAACAGTCCCATTTGAAATAAGCAATGTTAAGTTATTAACATCAGTGCCAAAAGAGTCTGTTTATCTGTTTTTTCCTCGATAAAGTTTCAAACTTGTTTAAGTATGAGATCAAATTCTCTGAAACAAAACATGTATCCAAGATTACGAATCACTAATTACAAAGAACCTTTTATCTGTTGCTTTTAATTTGTAGGTGAATGTTCCTAAAACAAAGAAGACTTACTGCAAGTCAAAGGAGTGCAAGAAGCACACCTTACATAAAGTAACACAATACAAGAAGGGCAAAGATAGTTTGGCTGCACAAGGAAAACGTCGTTATGATAGAAAACAGTCTGGTTATGGTGGTCAGACAAAGCCTGTCTTTCACAAAAAGGTAAAAAAAATTTATATATTTCATTCTATTGTTCAACTTTTTATTTTAAACTTTTGTTCTTATATATTATAAAAATTTGTACCATTTTACAGGCTAAAACCACCAAGAAAATTGTCCTAAGGCTTCAATGTCAAGGTTGCAAGCATGTCTCACAACACCCGATTAAGGTTTGTTTTTGGCTCTATATATATCTTATATCTTTTTAATTCATATTGCTAAAAAAACTCAACATGTTATCCCCTAGTGTTAATAAAACCGTTATTTTTTCTGATTTTGGTTGAAATATAATGACTTCAATATACATAATGTTTTCAATAACATAATGTTTTCTTTAGAATTGCTCTAATTGTTGTTGATTTATTTATTTATTTTTGTTGTGTAGAGATGCAAACATTTTGAGATTGGTGGTGACAAAAAGGGCAAGGGAACTTCCCTATTTTAAGCAGTTTTGATTGCAAGTATGCAATATATTTTTGGCAGACTTTTCGATGTTATTTTTTTTCTTGTTTACAATGCAAGAATGTAATGACTTCACAGATTTTGATTGTATTTTCGTTTATTTAACTTGGACTACTCTTTAAAGTAATGCAAATTTTTTTTTCAGGGGGTGTTTGGGATTGGTTGTTTAAGTTGCTAGTTTCATTGTTAATGCTCAATTCCAACACTCTCAAAATTGGAAGTGAGGTAACACCTCTAGCCACCATAATTTATTAAGGTTTTTGTTTGTTTTTTCGAAGCTAGAACACCGGTAGTCTACGGAATACATTTGCAACCCTCTTGTAGAGGGGGTGGATTAAACGTTTGCATTCAAATTGCAATAAAAATGCAATTAGAAGTCTGTTTGTTTAAACGTGTGTAGTTTATGAAATAAACCAAAATTAACCATACAATAGCTAATGTTCATTCTAAATCAAATGTTTATTTAGTTATGTAAAGATAATTGTGAAGGCATGATTTTTAAAGATGTTTATGTAAAATAATTAGACATAATCATTACTAAATAACAATAAATAAAATTATTAAATTAACAAACATGTGTATTTTGTTAAATTTTTAAGATGATAGTTTTTTTGGTTAGGTTTAATAGATCTGGTAAATTTAATGATTTAATTTTTAATTCACTAATATTTGGTTATAAAAAATGTAACATAAAAAATAGGTATATGAAATTTATTTTGAAATTTTATAAAATGTATTTGAATTGTTTATAATATTTTTTTAATATTATTAAAACAATAACAATAAATAGAACTGTTAAATGTTTAACATGATAATAAAAGAATAGACCTAAACGAATCATTATTGTAACACGTTATCAATTATTTTTTCATATTTTTGACTTAGTTTTTAAAGTTTATTAAATCTCAATTAAAATTTTGTTATGGATTCTATCAATTTTTCAACATTTTTTTACAACCTCTAAGAATTTAACAAAAAAAAATAATAAATTATTTTCTGGACTTTATTTTAAAACTTTTGTATGATCTCATAAACATTTTTTTCCCATTGTTCTTTGATGATTGTTAGGTGTGCCAAACTCAACAAATAGTAGGGGTACAATTTACTTTAAAAAAAACACTGTTATATTGCATTAAAAGGTAGTACTAGACAAGCAGAGTCGAACCATAAAGACACGAAACAATCAGTTTATACCTCTTTGCGAAAGGTACTTTGGTCACTAAAAGTAAAAAAGGGGGGTTTTGTAAACGACAATTCAAGTAAAAGATTGAAGAAACAAGAAAGAGGATAACCAACTGAAATAAATTCAGAATTTATGAAAAGACTCCAACTCTATATATGACAATCTAGCAATGTGATTCAAAGATGACATGAAATGCACTTAATTCTACCTAAGTTGGTACTTGAAAGTGTTAACAAGCTCTAACACTTCCCATTCATCAATTGTCAAATTCAAAATAAGCTCTTTGAAAATAACATAACCTTCTAATTTAAGTCTAAACAAGCTCTTAGATAGAAATCAAAAGGTTACAATAAGCTTTATGTGAATGTTCCCAACAAACTTGATACTCCTCACAAGCTCGGGAGCGTAAGGGTGTGTGAATAAGATTTACACTAAATTTATTCAATGAAAATCAGTTTAGCGTTTGTTACTTGGTCCAATTTACAAAACAATTACAGATTTTGCAATTAGATAACTAGAATGACCTAACCCTAATTCAAATGGTCAATAAGAATTACAATTAGAATAAAACATTCGATTAAGACAAAATCAAATTCACTAGATAGAAATTGAAAGCAAACATCAAGTCATTTGATTGAAATCACAACTAAAAATTCAAAACATGAAGTTGGAGAAACTAGGGTTCTAGCCATACATGGCTAGAACAATCAACAAGTCTAAAAAAGATAAAATAATTCCCATACGAGACGTACAAATCAAAATACATATGTTTCCAAATGATTACAATCGAATCCTTGCAAAAACCTTCGAAATTGCTCTTCTCCCGTGCTCTGGAAATGAAGTCTAAGTGTGTGATGTCCCCAAATCCCAAGATAGGGTAAAAAGAAAAAACTGTCAAAATGCAGTTTTTTTGGCCGAACACGGCCCGTGTCAAAATAGAGTAAATCAACACGGGTTGTGTTGAGTGGAAATTGGCATGCCATCCTCGGGTCTTCTTCCAAAGTAAGTTGCTTAAAAATGTGAAACTGGACAAACGCGACCCGTGTCAAAATAGGCTAAATCAACACGGGTCGTGTTCAGCATGGTCAACAACTCCTTTTTGATTAAACACGCCATGTGCTCGCTTTTTGAGTGCAAATCCAACACGACCCATGCCCGCTTTTGCTTCCAAATGCAAACTTGATTTTTTCAATCTCTTTGTTTCGCATCCAATCATCCTGCCGTCTTCACTCGTGCTTCCCAACACCTCCCAAAGCGCATTTTCACCCTCGGATAACCTGGAATGATTATAAAAACGTGCAAATAAGGTTGTTCTAGAAACCAACATAACTTATAATGAAATGCATATAAAATGAAGCAAACTACCTAACAATGATTATGTGTCACTTGAATTTTATGAAATAACAAATATGGTTTAAAAACCGAAGAAATAATAAAATGCTAATTAATCATATATCTTTCTTTCTAATTTCATCAAAGTCAAGTTTCACACAATCTACATGAAAGCTTAGTTTGCAAATTTTAAAATCGCAAGCAATACAGAACTAAAAAAGAATTTATTTATTTCTAAATGAAGCATAGCAGGGCAAACAAAATGAGTTTTTTATTTGGGATAATTGCAGAAAAAACAACCAATTATACATATATATATATGCTGAAAAACCTTATATTATTCATGTTCAGAAAAATCCTTATATTATTATTTACATTTCAAATAAAACCAAATTGCTAATTTTTAGGAGAAATGATCAGCTAAAAGTATATATATATATATATATATATATATATATATATATATATATATATATATATATATATATATATATATTTCTTGATTATATGCGAAAACATGTCAGAATCTATTTTTATTTCGATTACTTTTATTTGATTGTGTTCTCCATATGGAACTATACGATTGATTTTTCCCTCCACAACTAGTCGTTTTTATCATAATTAATATCAATGTCGTATTAGAAAACAAAAATGTAAGCAACATCAGATTTGTAGTCGTCAATTTCTCTTATAAATCCGTATTTTGGTATTTTTCGAATGGTAACTATTAATATAAATGTTTTTCTGAACATAAAAATAATATAAGAGTTTTTATGCATATACATATATAATTGGTTGTGCTTTTATGTATATATCCCTTTTTATATATGTTTTTTGATTGCAAACAATATAGAATGACAAAAAAGCTAAACAAAATAAATGAAAATCTAATTCAGTCTATATTCTCACATGTGTATTATTGAAACGAAGCTGCATCATCACGACTAAAAGTATAAAATTTGAAAGATGGGTGACCTATTCAAGATACCTGTTAATCATGCAGAAAACTTGAGTTCGTTATCTTTTTAAAAAAATAACGTCGGTTAGCTAACAATTATAAGATATTCTAAAAAATTTATCATTATATATATATATATATATATATATATATATATATATATATATATATATATATATATATATATAGAGAGAGAGAGAGCTAGATTCAAGTATTTTAACTAATTATTGTGTGGATGTAGGAATCAATGTGAGTCAATCATTTCGAAACCTAAATAAGGTAAATTTTTAATGTTATCTATTAATTAATTTTAGTAATTAAATAAATATTTAATCAATCCCTTTATTTTAGGCACGATAGTTTTAGAATTAATTAAATAAGGTAAATTTTTAATGTTATCTATTAATTAATTTTAGTAATCAAATATATTTGTTCAATAATTGTATATTTAATGATGCTATTCAGACAATTATTCTATAAGAATATGTATGAATCTATATTTGCATTACAATGTTTGAATATATAAGAATCATATTATATTTCAACTCAAGGTTCAAGAATCTTGTTTTTCTACAAAAAGTTACTTCAATCAAAATATGTACTTTATCAAAATATATTCTGACATTTTCATAGAATATCGTTCTAACAGAATTGCATTCTAAAAGAATAAAATCGAGTAAAATTAAAAATTATGTTAGAATTAAAAATGAATTAATTAAAAAAAAATTAGAATTCAAAATTAAAAGAATCAATATCCCTTAAAATCTGAAATTTTCATTAATTAAACATGTGTTTCTTAATTTAAACACGTGTCTCCTAATTTAAAGATAGACAAATCATTACTTAAAATAACTAAAACCATTGGTCTACATTCATCACTACATCCACACAATAATTAATTAGAATACAATAAACCTAATCTATATATATATATATTATATAATATATATATATATATATATATATATATATATATATATATATAGATATATATATACTAGTTTATAAACCGTGGGAACCACGGTTTTAAAATTAATTAAACTTTTCTAATAAAAATTTAAAATTATTAATCAATTATTTTAAATAAGTCATTTTAAATAAATTATTAATTAAGAGATATATCAGATTTTTAAAGTTATTATAACTTCAAATTTAACATATAATTTGAAAATGTAATTTGAATTTTGAAATGAGTTGTCTAATATATTTACATGATACATGACACAATATTAATGATAAATTATATTAGAATGACATTTGACAAAAGGAGATTAAAACTATTCATTTATTAGAATAGAGATATATATATATATATATATATATATATATATATATATATATATATGTTGTTTAAGTCTTTAAGAAGTATCATTTTGACCGGCCATTGCAAGTTTAGCCTATTTATTTGTTCAAAAACTCCATTAAACTCGTATTTCTTGTTCAAAAAATACTTTTAAACTCACAATTTTATATATTATTTACCATTATACTAATTTTTGTTTAATCATTTTCATCTTTTGCAGTTATCATCGATTTTTCTGACGTTTTTTTTATTGGTTGACACAAATTAAATATAGACAAACGTAGACATTCATTGTCGAAAAACAAAAAACATTGTAAGAAACTCAAATGGGCCACGATGAAGCTTTACACTCACACTTACTAATAACATGTTGGGTCGAAACTAACGAACACAAGACCAATTTTCTTTGATGCTTTTGCTAGACCTCGGACATGTAATGTACTTATGTACATGCCCTTCGCAAACTTCATTGAGATTTATAAGAGAATTAGATTGTCATTTCATCATTCTTTGGTACTTTGTACCGGCAACCCAATATGAACAAAACAGTCACCAGATCAATATAACTTAATTGTTCTTTGTCGGATAATGGAAGGTAGTGTTTATTTCTGGAGGTGGACGGTGGTGGTGGGTAGAGATGGGCACAAAAACCGAATTGGGCTCTCGGATCCGATCCGATCCGAAAACCGGATTTGGTCAAAACCGGTTTTGACCG